TTCCCCTGTTTACCTAGAACTCTACGCCTAACCTCAATGTTGCTCACCTTATTATGCCATTTTACACCGGATAACATCAACTCGTGTGTGTCAGCTAGGCCATTGCTCGAGGATAATCTGAATGGGCAACGACGACAAACTGGACGCAAATCCAAGGATGACATGCAGGAGGAGGAGGAGGAAAAGGACAAGGAGATGGGAGCACTGTGACAGCAAGTAATTCCATATTAGTTTGTTTATTAGATGTATCACACACACTGAGTGAAACAGTATTCTTACACACTGGATGACGCAGTATCGAACACAATTCATCATTGTTCATAATCACATCATCAATTATAATCACACGACTTCAAAACTTGAATTTCATAGTTTTCTAATGTGTTAAAAATTTATCTATATCTTGTGTTCTAAGTACAGTGAATGTGTGTCATCTGTATACCTCCACCATACTTCGATATGCGGTCGGGGTGAACATTTCAACTGCTATGTTTTCCCACCTATCCATGAATAGATATCTGCCACAATCGGCAACATTGGTGATCTCATGGTAACTCCCTCAAGGGTGCAGGTAATTCAGTTCACTTGTGAATTGGAAAGTCAATCAAAAAAGGGGGGTTCCAATGTTAGATTGTATGTAGCATAAAAAGGAAAGATGGGAAGTTAAACACAAACTAGTGTGTTTTTACAGGAAACCCACATGCACATTCAAACAGATATTTGGACTGTCGATCATCCCATCCTATGTCAGTGAAAATAAGATTGGTGAAATGTTTAAGTGACAGAGCGCAAAAACTGAGTAGTACCAAGGAAAATCTCAGACAGGGAGTGAGGCATACGAGAGAAGCTTTGAAACTTAATAATTACCCTGATAAATTAGTCGGAAAGTATGTAGGGAAATGTGAAAATAAAATTAATAATGATAGTAGCGACTGGAATAGTAATAATAGTAATATTAATGACGACACCAACAATAAGGAATCCAAATCATCAGTAGTAATTCCATCCATACAAGGAAAAAACTTCGGAAACCTTACACAGAATTCTTAACAAGCAATGCAGGATAAAAGTGGCTACTGGTATTCAAACCACCGACAAACGCAATGAGAAACAAGCTTTGTCCGTTAAAGGATCCTGCCAGTGGAGCCAATTAAACAAAACAATTTAGTTCATCTAATACCCTGTCTGCTGGAATGATTGTCAGTCAGGTCAAATACATAGGTCGAAGTAGTAGAACAAGGAAAGTCAGTCAGACTAGCCGAACATAAAAACCTAGCTGCAAAATCTAGACTGGTTGACCCGAATAAGATAAGAAATCTAGAGAATAGTTCAGCTACAGCATTACATGCAGTTACACACAACCATACAATAGGATGATAGTTTTAAAATCTAATATCACAGGGTGGAGGGATAGACTGATAACTAACTGAGGCTTTATTTATCTAATCAACTGCAAATACGTGTAATGGGAATGATACAACTGTCTGTCTGTTTTGAGCCATGTCACCAATTGTTTCCAACCATAGAGTTTTACCGTCCCGAGGACCCCAACCAGTCAGGAAGTCTACACCTTCCTACGTGGCTTAGACCAACTGTTGTGGATTTCATTGACTGGTGAAGCCAAGTTTTTGTTTGACCGCCGCTAGCTTTTTTCCAGCCTAACCCTATATCCGCTAACATTGCCCGTCTACGTCGAGGGAGGCGATGACTTGGCATACGTAACACATGTCCTAACCATCTCAGTCTTTGTAACTTCACGACTTCGTCGATTGATTTCCCCTGTTTACCTAGAACTCTACGCCTAACCTCAATGTTGCTCACCTTATTATGCCATTTTACACCGGATAACATCAACTCGTGTGTGTCAGCTAGGCCATTGCTCGAGGATAATCTGAATGGGCAACGACGACAAACTGGACGCAAATCCAAGGATGACATGCAGGAGGAGGAGGAGGAAAAGGACAAGGAGATGGGAGCACTGTGACAGCAAGTAATTCCATATTAGTTTGTTTATTAGATGTATCACACACACTGAGTGAAACAGTATTCTTACACACTGGATGACGCAGTATCGAACACAATTCATCATTGTTCATAATCACATCATCAATTATAATCACACGACTTCAAAACTTGAATTTTATAGTTTTCTAATGTGTTAAAAATTTATCTATATCTTGTGTTCTAAGTACAGTGAATGTGTGTCATCTGTATACCTCCACCATACTTCGATATGCGGTCGGGGTGAACATTTCAACTGCTATGTTTTCCCACCTATCCATGAATAGATATCTGCCACAATCGGCAACATTGGTGATCTCATGGTAACTCCCTCAAGGGTGCAGGTAATTCAGTTCACTTGTGAATTGGAAAGTCAATCAAAAAAGGGGGGTTCCAATGTTAGATTGTATGTAGCATAAAAAGGAAAGATGGGAAGTTAAACACAAACTAGTGTGTTTTTACAGGAAACCCACATGCACATTCAAACAGATATTTGGACTGTCGATCATCCCATCCTATGTCAGTGAAAATAAGATTGGTGAAATGTTTAAGTGACAGAGCGCAAAAACTGAGTAGTACCAAGGAAAATCTCAGACAGGGAGTGAGGCATACGAGAGAAGCTTTGAAACTTAATAATTACCCTGATAAATTAGTCGGAAAGTATGTAGGGAAATGTGAAAATAAAATTAATAATGATAGTAGCGACTGGAATAGTAATAATAGTAATATTAATGACGACACCAACAATAAGGAATCCAAATCATCAGTAGTAATTCCATCCATACAAGGAAAAAACTTCGGAAACCTTACACAGAATTCTTAACAAGCAATGCAGGATAAAAGTGGCTACTGGTATTCAAACCACCGACAAACGCAATGAGAAACAAGCTTTGTCCGTTAAAGGATCCTGCCAGTGGAGCCAATTAAACAAAACAATTTAGTTCATCTAATACCCTGTCTGCTGGAATGATTGTCAGTCAGGTCAAATACATAGGTCGAAGTAGTAGAACAAGGAAAGTCAGTCAGACTAGCCGAACATAAAAACCTAGCTGCAAAATCTAGACTGGTTGACCCGAATAAGATAAGAAATCTAGAGAATAGTTCAGCTACAGCATTACATGCAGTTACACACAACCATACAATAGGATGATAGTTTTAAAATCTAATATCACAGGGTGGAGGGATAGACTGATAACTAACTGAGGCTTTATTTATCTAATCAACTGCAAATACGTGTAATGGGAATGATACAACTGTCTGTCTGTTTTGAGCCATGTCACCAATTGTTTCCAACCATAGAGTTTTACCGTCCCGAGGACCCCAACCAGTCAGGAAGTCTACACCTTCCTACGTGGCTTAGACCAACTGTTGTGGATTTCATTGACTGGTGAAGCCAAGTTTTTGTTTGACCGCCGCTAGCTTTTTTCCAGCCTAACCCTATATCCGCTAACATTGCCCGTCTACGTCGAGGGAGGCGATGGCTTGGCATACGTAACACATGTCCTAACCATCTCAGTCTTTGTAACTTCACGACTTCGTCGATTGATTTCCCCTGTTTACCTAGAACTCTACGCCTAACCTCAATGTTGCACACCTTATTATGCCACTTTACATGGGAAATAGAGCACAGGCACCTATGATCAAAGACAGCTAGTCTTTTCATGTCTTCCACTCTCAGTGGCCCGGTCTCACAACCATAAGGGAGGACGGAGCGGACTGATGAGCAGTACACCCGCCCTTTGGTCGATAGTCGAACATCTCGTCTACGCCAGAGTCGGCGTAAACTAACAAATGCGAAACGAGCCCCCTGTATTCGTGCTGAGATTTCGTCAGAGATCAACCCGTTGGCGCTGGCTGATGGTACTTCCCAAATAAGTGAAGCGGTTAACGTGCTCTACCACTTCACTTACTATTTTTAAGCTAGGCGTCGATGTAGTCCAGTCCTGTAACATCATCTTGCTTTTGGCGGGAGCGAATCGCATGCCAAACATTCGTAGATTGCGGCTCAAGGTGTTTAGAAGACTCTGCATTTCGTCAGCGTCTTCGCCTAGGACTATATCGTCTGCATATTCCAAGTTAACGAGATTATTCCCTGGTAGCAAGTCAATCCCTGAAGTCACTTAGGGTTAAGTCCATTAACACATCTATGATGAAGTTGAATAGAAAAGGGATAATGGGCATCCTTGACGGACACCACTGGTCGTCACCAGTTCAGATGACAGCTCGCCGTAAGCCTTCACCTGGCTGTATGAGTACGAGTAGAGTGCCTTAATCAGTGCAATGATACAACACTTATCCAAGTGGATGACAAATAGGAGAGAACAAAGAGAAAACGATGAAACTCAAGTTTCAAAGTTGTGTGATTATAATTGATTGGTATGATTATGCACAATGATGAATTGTGTTGGAAACAACACTGTCATCTAGGCAGTAAATAATACTGTTTCACTCAATCACTGTGTGTGTGTGTGTGTGATATATCTAATAAACAAACTAACTAATATAAAATGAGATGACAGCTTATGAGCAGTTGTTCAGCTAGCTAAAGAGGATCAGTGTAGTAGATAAATATGCGGATTTGATGTTGGAGCCGCCAAGTGTTCCGCTCGGAACCAAACAGAGAACAATATAACCCCTTCGACTGAGCTGACATTCATTCGATAAAAACAGAACACGAGTTATTATTAACATTATTATCATTATTATTAATGTTATTTTTTAAAAATCCTGTAATTCATATAATATTTATAAATTGAGAAAAAAAGATGGGAACGGAGAAAAAACGACAAGAAATTAACAATGCAGAACAGTACAGCATAGCATACAGGGTTTATTTTCCAACTTATACACAAACATACATATGAAGAATGATTGTAAAGTGTGGAACGACTAATAATAATAATAATAATAATAATAATAAGAGAACAAAACAGGATCACGTTTATTATTTATTGCTATTTTCTTTACCTATAACAACCATCCATCCCCAACAGATTGTTCTAACGCAGACTAACACTAAAGTCTACAGGTCGTCTTGACTGTACACTACCTGATGAACTGATATTGAATAAAGCTTTACGTACAACATCTGCATCAACTTCCATTGGAACACTTGATCCTGTCGGTGTTCCTGTTGCTCCTGCTGCCACTGACGATGATGATCGATTGACTGAATTTCGAATCACTTGTTTCGCTTGACTTTGATTTTGTTTCCTGAAATGTGAAGGGTAAAAAAAAAGGAAAAGAGAAAAATAGAAACATGGATATCCACAATTCGAGGCGGTGGCATTACTGACTAACTGACTAGTTTCAACATAGAACTACTACTGTGCACAGATGTGCGCAGCAGTTCGAGTATACCATCCGAAAAGGTGACAAACAGAAACGAGTTAATGCCAGTCAGCGCCAACGATGGGTACAGTGGGACAAGCCGATCAGTAGCAATCCTCAACTAGAGAATGTAGCACCCAGAAGGTCGGAACGTCTGCGCACGAAGCTATTTGACGGGGGGGACGAGTGTGGTGAGAGCAGGCTGCTAGCCAATTGGTAGACATTAATCGACGCTGATTGGTAGACATTAATCTAGGCTGATTAAACAACCAATCACAGCAGACTTAAACGTGGGCAAATATGATTCGCAAACAAATGGCTCTACTTTCCGAGAAATATCGAAAGCAACCAATCAGAAGACTGTTTGTCTGCTTAACTTCCGAGAAACAACCAATTAGAATACTGCCTTTTTCTGCTTGCATAAGCCTTATTAATGTACATAACATATATATAAATACGCGTTGATTTTCGTAATAAAACGATCTGTTGCCTGGCCCTTGTCTTCTGTTGTTGCAACACTTTGTTATGTACTCGTCGAGTAGTTTTAATAGTCCTGACGCGGAAAGAGGGAAATCACAAGACCACCAGGTTAACAATGATACTTGTATTTTCCAGACAAGGAAAATAATGACTGTCACACAAGAGTGTCAGTGAAATGGTACGAAGTGTACGAAACGTGAACAAGAATAATAAAGCAAGAGTATATATGAAAATGGCTAATACACATGAACTATTAAGATAACGTCTTACCATGATTGGTTGTAATGTCATGTGATAAGAAGGTCATACATGTTTATTTAGTTAGTGGACAGACAAAAGCATATTGTCAGTTATAATGGAATATCGATCCATATACACATAGCAAAATATAACAGACTGTCAAAAACAAAACACACATCGTGTGGATACATATCACACTTCCTCTATGTACCACATAAGCAAAGCAAAAGTAAAGAGAGATTTAAAAAGACAAATTATATTAAACAGAAATGTGAGGCAAAAGTCTTCTTGTGATAATCACAAAGGGATTAATTAGCTTGACTAATATACGTATCTAAAATCCTAGGCTCAATAATATTGTGTAGACTAAGTGGTGCTCGGGTGGCACAAACAACGGGAGAGCCAGGCAGGCTTTAGACCAGGAAGAGGATGTATTGATTGACTATATCTTCACCCAATCCTTCGACAGATTCTAGAACATAGGCATACTTACCGGCGTCCAACAATCATTATATTCCTAGACCGCGAGGTGACCCAACAGGCTAAACTGACTGGGAACTCCTACAGTTCCTACAATGTTAGAAAGATTGTATGGATGTATGGGTGTAGTTTGACTAGAAACAATTACTACTATGGAGATACATGGGCTCCAGAATCTATTTGTCACTAGCAAACCATGGGAACGTAGTTCCTGACGCTGTTCTGTTCCGTTCCACTGCCTTGCAGATTAGACTCCAAGTCAAAGGCTCACGGCATTAAGTATCTCAGCCCCCAAACAATCAATGAAATGAAATAACGAGCTGTCGACAAACCTATTCGCATTTAGGTTAAAGTGGCTGAATGGTCATCAATGAGCTTGGCCTTATCGCAACCTGAAGATCCTAGAGTTCGACCCCATATACGGTGTTGTGGGTGCATTCTGCAGAAGAATCGTAAACTAGAAATATTCTAACTGATGTCATCAATTCATGATCGCACTTGAGACAAATCAAATCACCGCAAATAACTACTAAAGAATTTATATATACACACACCGCCGACTGTAGCTCTAGATCAGGTGGAGGCACTGACTGATATCCTCTACATTGGGTAGTTGGATTGTGAAGTTTTTCATTATCACGTCTTTTAACAGCTAGTTTATCCTCTTAAATTCGAGAAGAGAATATAACAGAGGAGGTCGTCAGCCAATTAACCCACCCACCCACACACACAGGATGTATATAATCAACCACAAGAGTACTAATAAAACAAGTACACCAAAAACGTGCATTGGTGACACAGCGGTAGAGTGGTCGCCGACCACGCAGGTGGTCCAGGGTTTAATCCCCGGCCGACCAATCCACTTCTTTCTCTCGCTAAGCCAGTAGTAAGATTGGTTAGCAGGGAAGGTTGGGCGGCATGAGGCTGGTTAGCAACCTCATCCTGTAAAAATAATCACCACTGTGCTACAGAAACGTCAAACCTCTAACTTGAAGCCTCCCTATGTTCCACTGGGAACGTAAAGGAATAAAAAAACACGCACACCAAAAACAGAATATCTCTAGAATTACAGATACCCCGATAAACGGCCAGGTGATACGAGACCAAGGGTGAGTAGATTTCAGTTTTCCGCTCAAAATGCTTTTTCATATGGCCATGCGCGTTTATAGCCCCTCTGGCTAGGTAAATCCTATTCACTCACATCAAATGACATCACAGATGTTCCTCGCATAAATAAAAGGGCAAATGCAAACGTCTAGCACTTCCATTGACACTGGCGGACATTCTTCCTTCACCTTCTTCAGTGGAACATAGAGCTCCAAGCTATTGACTTGAAGTTTCTCTGTAGCAGTGGTGATTATTTTTACAGGATGGGGTTTGCTAGGCAACCTCATGCCCAACCTTTCCTCATTACCAGAATTATTTCTGGCTTAACGAGGTAAAGGAGTGCGTCAGTGGCCGGGGATCGAACCCCGGACCATGTGCATGGTCAGCGAGCGTCCAAATGACATTAATAATAAAATAATGTCTAGAACAGTAAAACAATTTGAAACGCATTGAACGCATACACACAACACAGTTACGTCATTCATTCATGGACAATCCCAAAAAACAAACCTAATTCACGTTGAAGTAAGCGCGTTGAACATGTCATGTCTAGAAGGAGACAAATAAAAAGCTTTCTACCTAATCAAACTATCCGGACTTCGAAAAGAATACAACTACATCAAAAAAGGCAGAAATGTCAGTGAATAACCTTCGTCACGAAGTGCTACATCACATCTACCTGTCTTGATCGTACTTGGAGATTTTTTTTATTATAGCTTGATTCCACACCGTAGTTTCGATACAAGTATGGAATTTTCAGCATGTCATATCGGTACCCCAAATTTAGCAGGCCGACCAGTGATATAGGGTGTTCGTCGGCAGGGGATAGAACCCGGACCATGTGCATGATCGGCGAGAGTCCTAATCGCTGTGCCACCGACGCACATACTTCAGTCTAATGCACCTACTGTATCATAAACATGTACAAACACATACACACAAGTACACAATTGTTAGATTTCATTACACACTTGAGGAGACTATCCAACCAGAAGACGAAACATAGCAATTTCGTAGTGAAAAACCCCAACTCGAACGATAACTGCTACATTATCATTACTTCCTTTAATTCCTTGAGGAACATAGAGCTTCAGCCAACGTCTCCATCGCGTTCAGTTCTCTGTCAACGTTTTCATCAACCAGCTCCACGTCTGCCCACATGCTTTCATCTCCTCTTCATATGACCTCCTCCTCCAAGTCACCCCACCCTCTCACTGACTTCCAACTCGCCGCTTCCAATTCGGGTTCCACTTGAGTGATGGCCTGGCTTGTGATGTCACTCACTTGATGGTTTATTTTCTCGGAGTACGGTCAATCCACTTCTATTACTTCCTGAACATTTCTTGCACAATCGTCTCCTGATGGGTTGGTTCGCTCATTACCAGAGATCCCTGTTGCTGCTCTTTTCTGGCCAGCCATCTGATCTTGAGGATTGAGCGAAGACAGCTAGCTGTTGATGAAGGTTTGTAGTTTGTTCGAAGTGGCCTTCATGAAGCGGCGCCAAGTCTCTGATCCGTAAAGTGAGCAGTACTGACTTCACATTAGAGTTGAAAATCCGGATCTTATTTTTCATGCTGAGTGCTGGGTGTTGATCTCCACACAGATCTTGATAGTGATGAATGCTTGCCTTGCTTTCCTGATTCCTCGCCTTGATATCCGCGTCAGTCCCGCCTATAGTCGAAATGATGTTTCCCAGGTACATAGGTAAAGGAGGTTTCTTCTTTCAGATTCAGTTTCTCCCATTTATGCTGGTTGATTGTTGTCTGCTGTAAACCTTGAGGCAATCATCACCTAAGGAGCTATGCTGGATGAAACAAGTGTTTCCCCCACAGGTCCTACCTATCATGCCGGAAAGATCGTCTGGATAGCGGTTACACTAAAAGCAGTTATTGTCATAGCAACAGTCATCCAAACTATTTTGTCGCGGTAGCGCCGGCGTAGAAGTCTGTGGGTGAAGTCGAAGAGTTCGGGAGAATACAGATTTAACAGCCAGTTATGTTGCTTCTCCACTCTGAGTTCGGGGGATTCGAAAAGATTGACAATTCACCATGAGGTGGCAAATAGTAGTCGGTGGTAAGGCCTTAATATAGACACAACTCCACACAAAACGACTTCCAATAGGCTGCGCGTATCTGCGTGTAACTGGGCTCGATGGTTATGCAACACTACAATGCTCCATCGTCTGTTTGAGATACCCTCAAAGAAGAAAAAAACCAAGCTCTATTGTGTGGGCAGCCAGGAAGAGTGATAACCACCCATGCACACACACACACACACACACCTTTACAATAAAACAGTACTCCAGCAAAACCGTGGGGACACGGACACACACCCACACACTAACCTTCCATGATTAGGACCGAGTCTTGAAGCCATGCGAAGACCACCACCAGCGCCAGCAACACCAGCTGATATATCATGCTCACTGATAGGTGTTGTCAGTGTGACACGCATTGGACGACCGTCTAACTCTCGACCATTATACCGTTCAATAGCTTCAAGTGCATCTGATGAATGATTGTATATAACTTCAGCTTGACCAGGTCGTGTAACAGTGCATAAGCGTAGGCTACCAACACTGCTAAACAATTCCTAAAACAGAAAAACACAATGAAAAGAACAGAAGATACAATATTGGACAGACTGTTTACAATAGGTGATGATGAGGGATAAAATAACGTTGCTATTAAAACCAAATAAAGGGTTTGTAGAAACACTTCATTCAAGTGTAACCGACTAACTGAGTTTCAGCATACAGAACTTGGCACAGAAGTGCAACAGTTCGATTTGTCACAAAAAACGAAATCAAGATAGAAACAGAGTTTCGAAAGAACGACAATATAAGGGGGGAAATGTAACATCGACAAACAATCAAGTTTTATTGGAATGCTCTATGTCCACTTGAAGTCCTGTATTTGCTGATTTTTCCTCCGTCAAACGTTAATGTCACACTCAGCAAGTAAAATGTAATTCCATTCCCAGCTGGTCAAGAGCTACACTCATTGTGTGTATGTGTGTGAGGACTTTTGATGCAGCCTGATTGCCAACATCTCCCATAATAAGTGAAGTTTAGTTTGGTCAGAGCCCATGACCCTGTTGTGATTGGATGTCAAGCACCTAGGCGTCAACGAGTCATCACAGCTCTAGTATATGCTGTGACAGCTATTCATGACCACCGACTGGTTTCAACTTAGAACTACTCTGCACAGATGTGCAGCAGTTCTCGGGGCCACACTCCCTCTATGTAGCTCCTGACAAAACAAGAGAAGGAAGGGTGAGAAAGATTAAAAAGCAGAAATAATAAATAGAAATATGAGGCGAAAAGAATAATAGTAATATGGAAGAATAACAGAGTTTGAATGGGTAGGACATATCACAAAAAACAGCGAATGCATCTGCGCGCCATCACTGAGAACGATTTTGAGCCAGCCATATCACCAATTATCTCCAGCCTTTTATTGATTTTTACCATCTCAAGGACCCCAGGAAGCCAGTCTACACATCCCTACGTGGTTGGCTTAAGCTAACTGTTGTGGATTTCACTGCTTGATGAATCCATGTTGATTTTGCTTTGACCACCGCTAGCTGGCTCTTTTCCAACTTGATCCTATGTCAGCTATTTTATACTACCTTTGTGTAAGTGGAGCTGGGGGTAGGAACCCGTTGCGCGCACTACTGTTTGGATGTAAGGGTTAGTTATGTTTTTACGAGTTAACCCACGGAATGATATCAGTTAGAGAACCATTAAAACCCAGCCACAGGGAGTACTGGACAGCTGTTTCATCAGCCTAGTTTGGGAATCATCGGCAGTACGCACCCACCGCCAGGGGGTTCGTACCCAGAACCTTCTGGTTACAAGGCAAGCTGGCTTGTATACCATTCAGCCGCTGGCATCCGATTTAATGACCAGCCAATGAATTCTAACAACGGTTGGGGTCGCACTAAATCACGAATTGGTTGAAGTTAGAATTCATGAACTGGCAATTAGATCGGGTCCCAGTGGCTGAATGGTATACGAGCCAGCTTGCCTTGTAACCGAAAGGTCCTGGGTTCGAATCCCAGTGGGTACGTACTGCCGATGAAACAGCTGTCCAGTACTCCCTGTGGCTGGTTTTCAATGGTTCTCTACCTGATATCAATCCGTGGTCAACTTGTAGAAAATAAATCAATAAACCTTACAGTCTAACAAGATTCAACTAGAGTCTATACAAGAATAGCACATAACCCATATTAATAATAGTAATAATAATGAACAAGAATAACTCACGTATACGTCATCTAATGTAACAGTTGGCTGAAGATTACGTATCTCTAAACGGAAACCTTGTATTGGACTGATCTTTGGTGCTGACGATGAAATCGTAGATGTAGTGGTTACAGGAAGTTCACTGAATGGTAGTAAGTTAGCAAACAGGCCATTTGGTGATGTTGAATTATTAAGAAAATCTAACGGATTTGGAATAGGCGGTAATGGTAGACTGAGGAGATCAGGAATACCTGACCGTCGTAATGACGCTGCTGCTGTTGCTGCTGAACGCAATCCACTCTGAAATAATAAAAAAAGGAAGGAAGGTAGCAGTAAGTAAAAACAACAACAACAACAACAGAAAAGAAACCATTGTGAACGATATCTGATTTGATAAATGCAAATAAATATCATCTCCTAGAAAAAGACATCATGTAGCAGTTTGTGGAGGCGGGGTGCCGGGGGGGGGCACTCCACTCCGTATTGTTGAAGCAGTTTCCAATCTAAATGTCACATCCCGGTCAATACACGGTCGAAGGCTTTTTTTCCAAAGTCTCTGGAAGGCTGAAGTAGATATTTCACTGATGTTATTCCACGCTCTGTTTGGTGATGGTTATTATTATTATGATTATTTCCTTTAATTCCTAGAGGAACAAAGGACTTCAACCACACGTCTCCATTGAGTTCGGTTCTCTGCCAACGTCTTCAACACCTGGCTCCACGTCTACCCACATGCTTTCATCTCCTCTTTACACGACCTCTTCCAAGTCATCGTTGCATTGACGACCAACTCGCCGCTTTCCTTTCGAGTTCCACTCGAGGGTTTGTCTAGTGATGTCACTTGATGGTTTCCTCAGAGTATGGCCAATCCACCTCCATTTCTTCCTGCTTATTTGTTGCACAATCGATTCCGGCTGGGTTAGGGTTGGTTCGCTCCTACATATACCTGTTGCTGATCTTGAGCGAAGTACTGAGCAAAGACAGCTATTGATGAAGGTTTGTAGTTTGTTTGAGGTGCTCCTTATGACGCGTCAGGTGATAATTATAATACGTGGATTTGAAATTTGCCCCATACGAGAATTGTTTCTCTCATATCCAGCTTGCTTCTCTTCGGGTGAAGTTCTGCATCTATAGCATGATAACGCTACTTAGTAATTTGCTTGGCATGGTCAGGAGAAGCATGATTCCGTGCCAGTTTTAGCACAAGCTTAAGTCGTCTTTCTTTTGTAGCTTGACAGGGTAGCCATTCTCTCAGTCAGTGGGCATCTTGCCTTCCTTCTAAACTTTCTGCAATTATGGTGTGGACATATTCACTGAGGGTTCTGCATCCATTTTCAGTGCTTCGGGGGGAATCGGTGTCCACTATCGCTTGTATTTCTCAACGAGTTGCAGGTGAAGACGATTCAAGAGTCCTTTGAAGTGATCAGCCCATTGTTTATTTTCGCCTTTTGTGTTTGATAATTTGGTTCTCTTCACCAACTCTTATTGGTTTCATCTGTGTTGATCTCTTCCGACAGATAGCAAAGTGATGCTAGATGGTTGGAGGCAATCGGATACAGAAAGCTTCGCTTGTCCTAGGTTTCGTGCTGGTTGGCACTCACCAGTCAGTCAGTCAGCAAAGCATATCTGCAACTACATTGAAGGAACTCAATATCCCACCTATTTGAGATTCGAACCCACGTCACCCAGTGCTTCCCACAGTCAGAGACTTACCACTGAGCCCACTATTTGGGCTCGCAATTGACCACCTGTAGGACTGTATTAGATGCCTTCCAATGAAAGATATCTAGTCTGGTGTTGAATGACCCCTTACCTGGCTGTCTGTTTTTGACATAGAACTTTGCAACGATGTGCACCAGTTCAAGTCGCCACTCCCCCCTCCATGTAGAACACAAAGCAAGAAAAGAAAGTAGAAGAAATGCATAATAGAGACAGTTAAATAGAGGTGTGAGACAAAGGAATAGAAGTGACAAAGAACAATATAGTTTCATTGGAAATCATAAGTCACAAGGAGTAGATGCATCTGCGCCAGCCATTGACAACGATGTCTGTGAGCCATATCACCAGTTGTCTCCAGCCATTCTTTTTTACCGTCCCGAGGATCCCAACCAGTCAGGAAATCTACCTCTTCCTACGTGGCTTAAACTAACTGTTATGGATTTCATTGACTGATGAAGCTATGTTTTGGTTTGACCGCCGCTAGCTCTTTTCCAGCCTGACCTTATGTCAGCCAACAGTGCCCATTCTCGAGGAAGGCGATGACTAGGCATGCATGCGTGACACATGTCCTAACCATCTTAGTCGATGTAATTTCACAGCCTCGTCGATTGATTTCCCCTCCAATTCACCTAGCACTTTACCGAAGCCTAACCTGTGCGTCGGTGGCACAGTGGTTAGGATTCTCGCCGACCATGCACATGGTCCGGGGTTCGAGCCCACGCCGACGCACACCTGATGTCGATGGTCGGCCTGCGAATTTTGGGCTACCGATATCCACGCTGAAAATTCCACACTTGTACCAAAAATACGGTGTGGAGTCAAGCTGTAATCAAAAATAAAAAAACCTTAATATTGCTCACCTTATTATACCACTTCACACGGGAGATAAAGCACAGGCAGGTTTGAGTTCACACTCCTGCTCCTCTTCCTAATTTTATCACTAGTTACAATAACTAGAAGTCTCATGGTGCTTTCTATATAACCTTTAGAAAAGTTTGATTTTTACTTATTTGCTCTTATTGACTTCAAATCTAACAATCTGCTATTTGATATTTTTCTGTGCTGATAAACAGTTACTCTTTATCTATTACTGAAAAATCTTATCAGTAGCATATACCACAACAATATATTGATAGTTTGAGTAAAAATCACCAGTTTACTGAAAGTAATTTAGATGCATCATCCACTTTGAAAATGTGGGATTTTTTCTGTTTCAACGCATGATTGATAGACCATTAGAGGGTTTTTTTATCCTATATGTCTGGGTTCTAATCTCTCGTGTCTTATGAGATTAGATCTTATGAGATTAGACATGGAATGTTAGATAATGAAGGACAGAATATTGTGAATGCAGAATCACACTGTGCCCTCATTCAACAAGCAGTGTAAGATGAATCAGGATTTGATTGGAAGAGAATTAAATGTGCTCAGGCGGAGACAGGGCATCACGATTGATTTGAACGACATAGATACAGAGATGTAATCGTGTCTGACAAGAGTAGTCATAGGATGCTAAGAGTCAGTGGCTGAAGACTGTATTAATGAAAAGGGTTAAAGTTGTTTGGTGTAATCTCCATCTAATTGTTTTAGTGTTGCGTGACCACAGAGACCAGAGCCCGGTCATACACAGCCTGCTTGAACTGACTTTTTGGTTTGGTTCTGTATTAGTAACTTATCGCCGGCTACAGATCACCACAGGGTAAGTCAGGATATACTCTCTACTCAACCTCCCCAGAGTAGAGGGATAGCACAGCTGGCACACTGATCAACTGAGGGAGACACCTCACGGCTATTAAATTCCTGTTCCCCAGCAGTATCACTTCGCCTACAGACCCCCAGCATAATGTAACAAAAGTCTTACAATATGCCGGCGTGTGTACTGCTTAACAGTCCACTTCGTCCTACTTTATGGCCAGCTGTGAGACCTGGTCATTTAGAGTGGAAGACATAAAAAGACTAGCTGTCTTTGATAATACGTGCCTGCGTTCTATCTCCCGTGTGAAGTGGTATAATAAGGTGAGCAATATTGAGGTTAGGCTTCGGTAGAGTGCTAGGTGAGTTGGAGGGGAAATCAATCGACGGGGCTGTCAAATTACATCGACTGAGATGGTTAGGACATGTGTTACGCATGCAGGCCTGGCAATCCAACGCCTTCCACGACAATGGGCAATGTTAGCTGGCTGACATAGGATAGGTCAGGTTGAAAAAGAGTTAGCTCTAGTGGCGGTCAAACGAAAACATGACTTCACCAGTCAATGAAATCCACAACAGTTAGTTTAAGCCACGTAGGAAGAGGTAGATTTCCTGACTGGTTGGGATCCTCGGACGGTAAAAACCAATGAAGGTTGGAAACTATTGGTGATATGGCTCACAGACATCGTTGTCAATGGCTGGCGCAGATGCATCCGTTCCTTGTGACTTATAATTTTCAACAAAACTATATTGTTCTTCGACATTACTATTCTTTTTGCTTCATATCTTTGTTTACTGTCTTTATTTTGCGTTTCTTTTTACTTTCTTCTCTTGCTTTGCGTGCTACAAGGAGGGAGTGTGGCTACGCGAACTGCTGCACACTGGTGCGAAGTTCTATGCTGAAACCAGACAGACACACTATGTCGGTAACTGCTTTTAGTCTAATCACTATCCTAAGAATCTTCCTAGCATGTTAGAACCTGCGGGAACATTAGTTTTAGCCAATGTAGCTTGTTGATTCATTGGGATATGAAAGCCTGACCACTACGTCAAGGTAGTAGCTATCGGTCAGGAAGGACACTAGGGTTTAATGGGTATGTCAGATCCCACCGAGTGAATGTGCCTGCGCTATTCAGAAAGGTTTTTAGCCCTATCATGAACAATCTCCAGCCATTGGTTCTTAGCATCCCAACCAGGCAGTCTACTTACACCACCCCTCTACGTCGCTACCTCAACTCATACTCACAGATTTCATGGAATGATTCCAGGTTCCGAACTGACCACCCTCAAACTTTTCTCCAAGCCTTTCCTATGTCCTATGTGAACAATCCTCAACAAAGAAGGCAGTGGTTCGGCGTGTGCAACACATGTCCCCTAGGTATCCAAATCCACGCAACTTCATCATCTCATCGATTGACTTTCTTTAAATACCTAACTTCTATATTATTGACCGTATATATATATATATATATATATATATATATATATATATATATATATATATATAGTACCATTTAATGCACAAGAGATAAAACTCAAACATGTTTAGCACAGTTAAGTCAATCCAAGTACAAAAGACTTACTGAATTTGGTGAATTATTGATATGACCTGAGTAAAGTTCATTTTTCACCTAATTACAAGGGAGAGAGAGAAAGTGTAAGAATCCATTAGTTTCACAACAACAAAAAAACTCAATGAATAACTTTAGTGGAATTACACTAAGCGAATAAAATGTACAAACCCAAAATACTAACATCCAGTATATACTTTATATATTTGTAGTCTACAGAGAGGGAATTAAAATTAAATATTACCCATACCTTTACCAACCTCATTCAACAGTTTTGTATGACAACGCCACACACGTCAAGTGATTCACAACAGGAAAACTCAGCGAAGCAATTAATAAAGTGAAGACAGAAAGGGTAAGACATGACTGTCTGCCTATTATCACCGATGATATTCCTAATTGTGGTGAATTGAATCATGCGACGGATCGTTGGGAATGAGAAGAAAGAATCGATTAAAAAGACTCCAGAAGACATCGACTCCGTTGATTATCAGTGTCTAATGCCGCATAAACTCGTAGATCTACAGGCGAAAACCGATAGGTTGATAGAAGAAAGAGACAGGTGGTAAAGACGAAACTTCAAATGTGAACGTAGTTTTGAACTCGATAACCCATAACAGGTTTTTCACCTACCAGGTTAAGAGCCATATTCATTGTGTGAGGCCAGACGGTACTTTCCAGTTGCCCATGCCAAAGTAGATGGAGCGGGACTCTAACTCTCACATCCATCGACTGAAACCGTATGCTTAAGTTCAATAAGCCACACCTTCACTAAGTGGATGAAGAGAAGACAAAAATGGTGAAGATACACTACCACCACCATCAATAACAACAGGCACTAATCACTATCGTAGGGTAGAAAAATTTGAAGGCGGTCACCTCCTTCATCAATCTGGACAGCTTCTACAGGCGGCACGGATGAAGATATCTAAATTAACATCAGAAAGACACGGCAAACCTTCATTAATCTAACATCAATATGGGAATCTACTGGACTCAGTATAGAGAAAAAGATCCGTATTTTCAACATTAGTGTGAAGTCAGTCAGCACTTTTATATGATTCGAAGACTTGGCGTGTGAGTCATCAGGATCATTTCTAATAGGCTATTTATGGACTTTAACCAGCAGTTGCCTTTGCTAGCTCCATAAGGAAGATGAGATGGTCAGAATAGACAAGCAACAGGGAACTAAGGTACAAAACGAACCGACAAAAAACTTCCTATTACCAAAAAAACTATGCCCGAGGAGATAGAAACGCATTGAACTCAGGCTAAGAAGATGGTTGAAAGACAGAAAAGTGAGTTCGAAAGTGCTTGAACACTACGGCGTGCAGTGCCAACGTCCTTATCATCCCCATTCAACAGTTGATTATATCTCAAGGGAAATTCCAATTATAACATACAGAAAATCGAATTAAGTGATTCGGTAAACAGATTCTATTCAACGAATTCATCATCAAACTGTACAGTCGTATATATATGGTTTTTAAGAAGTTATATTCGGTGAGGGAATTGAACCTTAGGGGTGAATGCATAAAATAATAATAATAATAATAATATGAAGTTCAATTAAAACTAAAATGTTTGTGACTATAATCGTAGTTAAATGTCAAGTGGCAAAGCAAATTAACGTCATATATATAAAATAAATCATAGGAGGGATAGAACTTGAAAAAGGGGTGTGCAATTATAGGAGTAGTAGACAAATCGAATCAAATAAAAACGTTACGTAATATTGTGTGAAATTTAATAGCATAGAATTTATCGTTGTAAAAAAGAATTGATTTAGAATGACAAGTGGAACAAGTGAAATAATACCGGGGACAGTTCAAAGTGAGAATAGTAATAATAACAATTGACTTAATAAGGAAGAGTATACAAATTGAATAGACAAAATGAAGAAATGAAAAATTGGTAGAGCTAAAATATGATTGGGGATTACCATATTTTAGCATAGAGGGATTAAGACCATAAAAAGTTGGAGGGGTTGAAGGAATATTTTCTGTACACAGAAATCTGGTTTTTCTGTTTCGATAGCCAAAGCTTCAGCAATACAGATGAGTCGGGTACGTAGGGATTTGGGTAAATTACTCTTTGCCTTGTAGATGACTTTAAAGGCGGAGGCTATAGAGATAGGGTGATCATTATCGACCAGACGTTCAATGATCGCGCTTCTTATTGCTCCACTTCCACCTTTTCGTAGTCATGCAGGATAGTGTTCTTGCACCCTCTTGGACAAAACTCAAGTCGAACGACCGATATACCTAGCTCCACAAGAGCAGGTGAATTGATAAACGCACATAGAGTTGGTCAACAGCGGGATCTTGTCCTTCAGGTTATTGAACAATAATGGTCGGCTAGTAAAGACTATTGTCAGAGATGCAGCAGGGAATGTTCTTTTCAGGGACTGTGATATCCTTCGTTTCATGATATCGGAAGCTAAGTCCCCTTTGAATTCCAAGCTCATGTAAAGTATTTTCTTGGGAACGGTTGATAAGTCACGTTTTGTAAGATTTGAATGTATATTCTTATCTATAAAACGTGGTGGAAATCCATTTTCCATTGGGATTTTCCTCAAAATGTATAACTCATCTTCCACAGTATCAGTGCTACATATGCGCCGAATACGAGTGGCAAGCGACCGGACCAGGTTTCGTTTTCGACCAATGGGTACCCAGCTGTAGAAATTTGTCAGTTGTCCATTCCATGACAGCTTACGATAAATCGATCTCTTCAGAGTTCCATCTGTCCTTCTTGATAAGTTCACATCGAGGAAATGAATGCTAGACTCGTTCTCCATTTCGAGTGTGAATTTTATCGCAGGATGGCACTCATTAAGTACATTTAATATATTATTCAGGTTACAATCAACATTACAAATAATAAAGGTGTCTTCTACATACCTTTTATACATTTGAAAGCTTTGGATTATAGGCTTCAGGGGACCATTTTCTAGACTGGACATAAAAAAGTCTGCAAGGAGAGGACCCAAGGGAGAACCCATCGCAATATCATCCTTCTGTCTGTAGATTGTTTCATTGAAAGTAAACTGTACATTCAATGTACATCTCAAAAGTAGTTTTAGGCTATTAGATAGCTTAGAATTGGAACCTATCGAATGTCTTCGAAAATCTCCTGAGAATTCTGAGATACGTGTTCAATCACTCCTCTATATCTTTATCGAAATTGCAAATGGAAGCCTTGTCTATGGGCTCGAAGTTTTGCGATGTTAATCTCAATATCAACAAGCTACATACTCATGTCCAGTTTGAGAATTTACTCAGTCAAACCTATGATCTCACACCATCGTCAGACCAGGATTTCCAATGCTTCAAATCTACCATTACGGACTCCTGCAATCAATACCTTAATGCTAGACCAAAAATGCAAAGTCTTCTTACTAAACAGCACAAAGAAGAACTTAAACTTTTGACGCATAACAGCGATATACTATTAACACGCCCTGACAAGGGTACAGGTGTTGTTATTATGGATCGTAAAGATTATATCGATAAAATGTCATGTCTACTTTCAGACAGCAGTAAATTCTCGAAACCGAACGAGAAAAACAAGACGGAATTAATTGAGAAACAACTTACCGATACTTTAAAGAGAATGAAGAACAATCATCTCATTCGTGAAGAATTATACGAAAAGATCAGACCAACAGGATCTCTAATACCAAGACTGTATGGTCTACCGAAAATACACAAAGCTGGAGTTCCACTTCGCCCTATCTTGGATATGTCTGGATCGCCCTATCATCCAGTAGCTGGGTGGTTAGCTGAAATCCTCGAACCAGTCAGGGGGCAACTATCTAATCATTCCCTTCGGGACACCTTCCAATTTGTTGAATGTATACAGGATATAAATGCGTCGAATAAACAAATGTTGTCTTTGGATGTAGAATCCTTATTTACGAACGTTCCACTGACAGAGACCATATGTTTTATATGCAAATATATTGAAGACAACAAATTGAACATAGGGATACCTACTACAGATCTTAAAGAACTACTTTTGAGATGTACATTGAATGTACAGTTTACTTTCAATGAAACAATCTACAGGCAGAAGGATGGTATTGCGATGGGTTCTCCCTTGGGTCCTCTCCTTGCAGACGTTTTTATGTCCAGTCTAGAAAATGGTTCCCTGAAGCCTATGATCCAAAGCTTTCAAATATATAAAAGGTATGTAGATGACACCTTTATTATTTGTAATATTGATTGTAACCTGAATAATATATTAAATGTATTTAATGAGTGCCATCCTGCGATAAAATTCACACTCGAAATGGAGAACGAGTCTAGCATTCATTTCCTCGATGTGAACTTATCAAGAAGGACCGATGGAACTCTGAAGAGATCGATTTATCGTAGGCTGTTATGGAATGGTCAACTGACAAATTTCTATAGCTGGGTACCTATTGGTCGAAAACGAAACCTGGTCCGGTCGCTTGCCACTCGTATTCGGCGCATATGTAGCACTGATACTGTGGAAGATGAGTTATACATTTTGAGGAAAATCCTAATGGAAAATGGATTTCCACCACGTTTTATAGATAAGAATATACATTCAAAGCCTACAAAACGTGACTTATCAACCGCTCCCAAGAAAATACTTTACATGAGCTTAGAATTCAAAGGGGACTTAGCTTCCGATATCATGAAACGAAGGATATCACAGTCCCTGAAAAGAACATTCCCTGCTGCATCTCTGAGAATAGCTTTTACTAGCCGACCATTATTGTTCAATAACCTGAAGGACAAGATCCCAATGTTGACCAACTCTATGTGCGTTTATCAATTCACCTGCTCTTGTGGAGCTAGGTATATCGGTCGTTCGACTCGAGTTTTGTCCAAGAGGGTGCAAGAACATTATCCTGCATGGCTACGAAAAGGTGGAAGTGGAGCAATAAGAAGCGCGATCATAGAACATCTGGTCGAAAATGATCACCCTATCTCTATAGCCTCCGCCTTTAAAGTCATCTACAAGGCAAAGAGCAATTTACCTAAATCCCTACGTACCCGACTCATCTGTATTGCTGAAGCTTTGGCTAT